CACCTGAGGGGTAGCTTCTGGGGGGGCACGGTGCACAGGAGGGGTAGCTCCTGAGGGGGTATGGTGCGTGTCAGAGGTAGCTCCTGGGGGGGTATGGTGCACTTGAGGGGCGGATCCTGGGGGGCATGGTGCACATGAGGGGTAGCTCCTGGGGGGTCAGTGCATGTGTGGGTAGCTCCTGAGGGGGATGATGCATGTGAGCGGTAGCTCCTGTGGGGGACAGTGCCTGTGAAGGGGAGCCCCTGTGGGGTGCACATGAGGGTTAGCTACTGGGGGGGATGGTGCATGTGAGGGATAGTTCCTGGGGGGGGCACTTGAGGGGCAGCTCCTGGGAAGGATGATGAACATGAGTAGCTCCCGGGGGGTCGGCGCGTGTGAGGGGTAGCTCCCGGGGGGTCGGTGTGTGTGAGGGGTAGCTCCTGGGGGCGGGGCGCCTGGGACGGATGGGGTGCCTTGGAATAGCACATAGCGGGGTGTAGTCCTTCTGGTCAGGGGGCATCTGGGGTGGCACGCTGGGGTGGGTCCCTGGGAGCGGGGGCAGAGGGGGCAAGGACTCACCATATGGAGTGGCTGTGGCAGAAGTCCAGCGCTGAGATGATCTGCCGGAAGAACTTTCGGGCCTCCTTGGGGGTCAGCCTCCCCTTCTTCACCAGGTAGTCGAAGAGCTCCCCGCCTGACACGTGTTCTAGCACCAAGTATCTGCAGCAGACGAGCCCCCAGTGTGCCCAGCTGCAGTGCCAGCCGATGCCCCCCTTGTCCCAGGGCCTCCCACAGCCACCTCCTGGCCCAGCCTCCCTGCAGGCCGCCCCCATTCTCCCATGGGCTGGGAGGCAGCTCAGAGGACCTGACTGCAGGGCAGACCTCAGGCCATCTGGGTTCCTTGGGATGGGCCTCAAATGAGTCTGCAGGGACCCTGGGGTGGGGTGGGGTGGGGTGGGGTGGGAGGGAGGGTGGGTGAAGGGATGGGTCTGGGGCACAGCCGACAGGGAGGGTTTGGAACCACACGCTGAGTGTGGTGGATGTCAGGGCACGGTGCAGCATGTGGTGGCCTCGGGCTCTGCCCTGCCTGCTCTGCTGTTTCCAGGTCTGTGAGGCGAGGCCCTCACACCCCGTCATCTCCTGCACCGCAGTGGCACAGACACCCAGCGAGAGACTGCGCAGTCATATCCAGGGGCCCAGGGACCCTCTGGGCTGCTGTGGGCAGGGACAAGGAGGTGTGAGGGCTGCAGGGAGGGGCGAGGAGATGGCGTGGCCCTCCCTTTCCTGCCCTGGTGGCCTCCTGGCCTCCCATGGGGTCTCAGCCGCATGGAGGGTCCTGAGGGGCTGGTTCCCGGTGGGTGTCCTGTGGGACACTGGATCAGGCTTCCTGGGGGCCGCTCCGTCCAGGCTGAACCAGTTTGGGGGAGGCCTGTGAGGGCAGTGGCTCCAGGTGTGGCCGTGGTGATGTGGGGCCAGGGAGTGGGCCAGGGGCCGCCCAGGACGAGGGAGTAGGGCCTGGACGCCTGCTCAGAGCAGTGGTGAGGACTGCAGTGACCGGCTGTCCCAGGAGCCAGTAGTGGCAGGAATCCAGGGCCCAGTGCAGGGATGGGAGCAGACGTTGTGGTGGGGGCACGGGGTGGGCTGTGGGCAGGAGGGCAGCTGGACTGGAGGCTCAGCATAGGCCACGTGGTGTGCAGAGGGTGTGGGACAGCACCCAGGGCCAGACCTCGGGAGAAGCCCCCTGAGCGCAGCCATGCCCACCCCCTGGGCTCTTTCCTGTCCTGCCCTCCCCAGGACCCGCCGCTCCAGCACCACGTCACAGCAAAGTAGCCATGCCCTCCTCACAGTCCCCTCGCCACCATCAGGGTCCAGGGCGGGCCCCGCCCCCCAGGCCTATGGTGACAGTTGCTGTGCTCCCGCTCATGGGGGTGGGGGAAGGCAGCTCCCCGCACCCCACCCCTTGGTTTTCTCTCCCCAGCAACACACTGGAGCTGGCCGCTTGCACGTGCTCCCCAGGGCATGTGGGAACCCAGGCCGGCGAGAGCAGGAGTCGCTGCTGGGGAACAGGGAGGAGCTGGTTCTGCCCAGGCCCTCAGACAGCTCGAGCTTCAGCCTGCTCACCCCTCAGCTGGCTCACCCCTCAGCCTTCTCACCCCTCAGCCCGCTCAGCTCTCAGCTCATCCCCCAGCCTTCTCACCCGTCACCTGAGGGCAGCTCACCCCTCAGTCCAGCCCTGCATGTCCCCTGCCCCCACAGTGCCTGATGCCCCGGAGATGCCTGGCCGGGACCGCCTGGTAGTCAGGGCGCTGCCCTGGGACCAGCGAGAGTCCGATGGGGCTCCAGGCCACACAGCCCTCAGCATCCGCCCCTCGCCGCCGGGAAGCCCCGTCAGAGCCCACCAGGAGCCCGTCCTGTGAGTGACTGCTGCACCCACTCCAGGAGCTGGCTGCGGCTGGGTGTGGGCGATGGGGTTCATACACAGGCACACCTGGCACAGGGAGGGGATTTCTGCTGGCCTCGGCGGCTGTGGGGTGATGGGGTCAGCCACGCTTGGCAGCCGGAGTCCAGCCAGGGCGGGAACCTGGAGGCTGTGCCTCGTGGGGGAGCCTCGGGGATGGGGGTGTGTCTCCATGGGTTGGAGGAGCCCTGGGCAGAGGCCGGGAGGCTCGGTGTGGCCTTGTGGGGAGGACCATGTGCTCCCACCCCCTGACCTGAAACCCTGATTCCCCCTCCAGAAGGCCCTGTCCCCCTTGCTGGCCTCAGGCTCACCAGCAAGCCCCCAACAGGGCAGGTGTCTGGTCTGGTCTGGTCAAGAAGCACAAGGCACATCGGGCTGGCCGAGACCCTCCCCAGTCAGCTGTGGGTGCTGGCGGGGCCAGGGCTGATGGGGTGCAGTTGGCACCCCTGGCCTCCAGTCCCTGCACTCCCCAAGCCCTGGCCGCCCACCAGGCTGCCTGTCTCCCTGACCCGGCCGCCCTGGCCGCCCACCAGGCTGCCTGTCTCCCTGACCCGGCCGCCCTGGCCGCCCACCAGGCTGCCTGTCTCCCTGACCCGGCCGCCCTACAGCGACAGCCCCACCTCTGCCACCCCAGCTCTCCAGACCCAGCAATACCTACAAATATTTTTTGTTTTCGTAAACGTCGTGCAGCTTGAGGACGTGGGGGTGCTCGATGAGCTTCAGGATGGCAATCTCTCGCTCCACCTGCACAGGAGAGACCAGAGCACGTCAGGCTCCCAGGGCTGGGGCGCCCGTCACCCCACAGACACCACCTTCGCTGCTGGCTGTGGGGGACACAGGGACACGGGCTGCTCAGCTGGGGCCTGGCTGGTACAGAGGGCAGAGGGCCATGGGGCCATGGTGGAGGGAGCCCAGGCCCTGTGCTGATGCCAGCTTGGGCGCAGGAGGGCCCATCCCCACTCTGCCAAGGCAGGCAGCCTGGGCCTTGGCACTGCCCTCGGTGTGAGCCCAGCCTCAGGAATGGGGCCTGGAGCTGCAGGGGAGGAGGCCTCCCAGGCTCCCAGCCAGAGACGGGTGGAGGCCTTTCCAGGCAGGCTATGCCCGTGCTCCAGCCTTCCTCACAGTGGAGGCCTCACAACTGGGTGCCGGACAGGCCTCTGTGGGCTCAGGACTGGCACGAGGTGGGGGTGAGTGTCCTGTGTGTGGGGTGTGGAGTGGGTGTGCCAGCCTTGGGCAGGGCACGTGTCCCCCATCCACAGGCTCCCAGATGGCAATGTCCCAGGGCTCCAGGGAGGGGCAGAAGTGACTCCTGAGGGTACCTGACCCAGGACACCCAGTCCTGCTCTGAGGTGAGGGCAGGGGCTCCTCCTTCAGACATGCCAGCCTGGTTAAGGCCACCTGGGGCACTGCCCAGCACAGAGGAGTGGCCGTGGCAGTGTGGGGGCCAGCCAAGGCAACAGCCTGGGGCACCCGGCACTCAGGAGCCAGGGTAGACAAGGCTTTGGAGCTGGGGCCAGTCCTGTGATGGGGTCCCAGCTCCCTGGTGACTTGGCCAGCCTGTCCCAAGCCCTTCCCTTCCAGGTGGGCATCTGTGCATGGCACCTGCAGGTGTCAGGGCTGCCTCTCCTCCTCCGCATCTCCAGGCCCTCCTTCCTCTACTCAGGGCTCACAGGCACCTCCCAAATTCAGCATGGGGCTCTCCCCAGCCCCGCTCTGCACTGGGTCTCCCCCCGCCAGGTGCAGTCCTGGCCCGTCACTCCCAGGGCTTTGGTTTCTCCTCCAAGGCGGGGTCGGAGCCTGCCAGCCCCATCCAGGCAGCCCTTAGTGCTGCTGCCACCTCCCCCTGGGGTCCCCTGGCCTCCCCAGTACAGTCTGGTTAATTCCTCCACACCCCCAGCAGCTGGGGGGACTCCGAGTGTAAATAAGGGTCCCCAAGCATCAGCACCTCCCACAAGTCTCCACCCTCTGGGCTCCTCCCACCAGCCCAGGTCCCTCTCCCTCCTCAGCCCCAGCCCCAGCACCAGCCCTGCCCTTGAAGGAGCCAATGCAGGGACAGGTGGGGCGGGAGGCTCCACTGGTCCCAGTGTTGGGAGGGCCCCACACTGGATGCCCAGGTCCTACCAGGTGTGAGACTTGGAGGAGCTGGGAGCCGCAGCCTCTGCCTGTACACCCAGGGTCAGGCTTCCCTGCAGCTGGGGCAGTGCCCTCCCCACTGAGAGGAGGGTCAGAGGCCAGGAGTCCTCCACCCAGGGTGGCCTGCCTGGTATCCACAGTGGCCAGACAGCACCGCATGGAGGCCAGGCCCCAGCGGAGGAGGAAGGTGGGGCTCCCCTCTGCCAAGATGGGCCCTGCCCGGCACAGGACAGGCTGCTCTGAGGCAGGGGCTCCCTCTCAGTTCTAACTGGGACACCGAGGCCCTGCCACCAGAAGCCTGCAGGACCCCCACGCTCAGCTCCACAGGTCCCCACAAGGCTGAGTCCCAGCCCCCTGTGCTGTTCCCTGATCTAACCACAACCACCTTCCCCCCAGGGCCCCGCTCACCTTCATCAGCACAGACTCGCTGAGCTTCTCACGGTTGACAATCTTGATGGCCACTTTCTGGCAGGTGACACAGTGAACCCCCAGCTTCACCAGGCCTGCAGGAGAGAAGCAGCCACCACTCAGACCCACCCAGGCTGTGTGGGTTGGGGGCCTCCCCCTGAGCCCTGGTCAGCAGGGGCCCCACCCTCTTCTTGGATGGACTCGGGCCCTGCCCGCCTGGGTTGCTGTCCAGGACAGCTCCATGCTGGTGTCACGCTGCCCCACAAGGCTGTGTCTTCCCTCCATGCCGGCCCTTTGGACTTCTCAGGTCTCCATGGCCCCACTCGAACTATCCCCTGTCCCAGGGCACCTAGAGCCGCTCCCTGGCTTTAACCACTGTCAGCTGGGAGCCAGAGTGCCCTTGAGGCTCCTGCCTGGCCTAGGAAGCCCATCCCCTGCACACCCCCACCCTGAGACACCCCCGGCCCTCCGCCGAGACCCCCTCCAAAGCCCTCTGCCGAGACGCCCCCCGCAGCCCTCTGCCGAGACCCCCTCTGAAGCCCTCCGCCAAGACCCACCCCCGAAGCCCTCCGCCGAGACCCACCCGCAGCCCTCCACCGAGACCCCCCTGGCCCTCCGCCGAGACCCCCCCCGAGGCCCTCTGCTGAGACGCCCCCCACAGCCCTCTGCTGAGACCCCCCACCCCCGCCGCATCCCTCTGCCGAGATGCTGCTCTGCTCCCAAGCTGGCCCTGTGCTCACCCCAGGACAGCAGGATGGGCCCCAGGCCACTCCACAGGCAGCACTGCCCCAGACCTCCACGGCCCCTCAGCATCTCCTTCCCAGACCCACCTAAGAGGCACGCAGGGTGCTCTGGGACGTGCCTCGGCTGGCACACGGTCCTGATCCGCCGCCCCCTCAGCCCACCCTCCCTTTCTCCTCTTCCCTTTTCAAAGCCAGGTACCTGCCCCCACCCAGGACAGCCTGGCCACGCCCCTGAGCCCCCCACAACCCCGGGCCTGAACTGGGACCTTGACACTGGAAATGCCCTCGGGCACCCACAACCCAGGCCGCCTCCCACCAACGGTCCCAGGTGCACCCACCAGCCTACTCCGTGTTGGGTCATGTTGGAACCACGTGGGGCTCAGGTTACCACAGGGTACCCCTCTTCCTGGGAGCGCCCAGACACCCAGAGCCTGGCTGGCATTCCCGCTGGGCTTTGGGGGACACCATCCTTCCGTGCACTGCCCTGTGGCATCGGCCGCCCCGTGAGTCTGATACCACCTCTGCCTCTGCAGCTCCAGGTCTGGACACAGGAGCCCCACCTCCTCCAGCACCAACCACCTAGGCTGCCCACCTGCTCTCCAGACGGGGTGGACCCCCCTCTTCCTGTCCCAGAGTTGGGGGGAAGGGCCAGGCAGCCTGGATCTGGGTGAGCCCAGGCCAACCAGGGGACCCAGGACCTTGCCGGAAGATGTGGGCTTCCCCAGAGGCAGGGGAGCTGCAGGCTGGGCGAGGACAGAGGCTGGGCGAGGAGGAGAGCCCAGTGCCTGGGGCGGGAGGGGCCCGGCAGGGCAGGGGCTGCTCACGGAGGAGGGGCTGCCTCTCCCTGGCAGCCTTTGATCCGGCAAGAGGCCTGTGATTCACTCAGCCAGGGGAGCACTCGGGAGGGCACAGCACCCTTCATCCATAATTCAGGGCGGCTGGAGGCTCCTGCAGTGCACTCCTCCCCAGGCACGGGGCTGGCCTGCACCCCAGGGCAGGAATCCCCCACACGGAAAGGAGCTGGGGCTCAACGTCCCCCAAACATGGCTGCAAGGCCAAGGTGTGGCCCCTGCCAGAAGCCTCTGGCCCCAAGGCCATCGAGCTCCTAAAACCCTCCAGGACCAAACCCTGGGAGGATGCAGCCAAAGGCCAGGAGAGAAACTCCCAAAGAAGGGAAGGAATGACCCAGAAACGCCCAGCGTGAGGCACCCTCAGGAGCCCCTATGTCCTTTTGGGGCCAGGAGACCCCAAAGGAGGAAGGGCCTACACTCTGCCGCAGGATGTAATGAGAGCCAGGGGTTGAAGTGGGAGGGAGGCTGTGGTCAAAGCCCCCAAGGGCACCAGGATCACATTCCCAGGTGGGTGACAAGGCCTGTGGGTGGTCCTGTTGGCTCTGTATTTTCAAAAACAATGGCTCCACACAAGAGGCGAGTGAAGTCATCAGGGCGCAGCCACCAAGGGTACTGGCAGCTGTTTGATGGTGAGACCTGATCAGACCACAAAAGACGCTCACTGCTGAGTGCAGAGGGTGCTGGTTACAGAGCAGCAGGTTCCAGTGCAGGAACACGCACTGTGCACACACTGAGGGATGTGCACGCCTCTACGCATGCACACACACATAAGGGCACACTCGTGCACAAGTGCACATGCACACACAAGTGTAGACATCCCATGTACATATGTGCACACACACCCAGTGCACGCACCCGCATACACACATCCTTATACCCTGTGCACACACACCCCGTGCACACACCATGCACACACTGGCCTACACCCTGTACACACACCTGTGTACACACAGACCTACAACCTGTGCACACACCCATTCACACACCTCTGCACACACGCATACCTACACCTTGTGCACACACCCAGGTACACACACCTACACCCTGTGCACACACACCCAGCGCACACACCCATGTACACATGCCCACACCCTGTACACACACCCTGTGCACACACCCATGCACACACGCACACCTACACCCTGCGCACACACTCGTGTACCCACGCCCACACCCTGTACACACACACCCAATGCACCCACCTGTGTGCACACATGCCCACACCTTGTACACACACACCCCGTGCACACACCTATATGCACACACCCACACCCTGTGCACACACCTAGTGCACACACCCGATGCACACACATCCAGTAACACCCTGTGTACACACAGTACACACCGCAGTGCATGTACACTTGCAATTGCACACACATACCCCAGTGTACATGCACACATACCCATAGTGCACGCATACCCCTCATGCACACACTCACACACACCAGTGTACACACACCCTCATGCACACATACAGATATGTAGGCACACTCCCAGCCTGTACAGACACATCCTTGAATGACAGGAGCCAAAAGATGTGTGGAGAGCACCGTCCTGATTTCAGAAAAGGAAAGAAAGGGGACTGAAAATGGAGGGGAGCCTGACAGCCACCTGGGCCAACTTCCCAGGAGCCAATATTGAAAGGGTGCTGCTGGCCCCACCACCAATCAGGAACACCAGCCTTGCCCCAGGTGCTGTTCTGAGTGGGGCCCCTCCACCAGCATGTCACAGACGAGGAAACAGTGGTTCCATCTGCTGCCAGCACATGTGGCTCAGAAGGGCCAGGAGGCCTATGGAACAGGGTGTTCCTGACAAGTCCCCGCCTTCCCAGAGGAGGTTCCGGTGGGGATGGAGCCACTGGGGTTGGGCCTGGCGCACCCACAGAGCCTGCCCACTTCCTTGCATCTGGGGCCTGGGGGCTGCAGGTGGTGGGCGCCCTTTTGGATGACGACAGAGGCACAGAGGAGCCACAGTCACCAGGAGCCTCCTGCCAGTGCTCAGGTGCCCCAGGGCTCAGGAAAAGGCAGCCATGACACAGCAGGCTGGGGCACAGGAGAGCCGTCCCCAACTGTGTCCTGGAGCTCTGCCACTCCTGCCTCCATCTTCTTTCACTTGCTGCCCCTATGTCCAGAAAGTCCTTTCCCCATTACTGTACCCTGAAGACTCCTATACATCCCTCAAAGCCCAGCATGGAGATGTCCCTCCTAAGTAAAGCTTCCCTAGGGCCCTAGGCAGCAATGCCACCCTCTGCATCCTGGTCCCCCCAGCTTCGGGATTATGAGCAGAATGTTTGGGTTATGAGCCGTTTTGTCACTTCCTGGATGCAGGGAGTGGGGAATGTGCTGTGAGAGGCCCTCCTGACTGGGCCACAGCCTGGAGGGTCGGGAGCGGGAGGCTGCAGTGGGGAAGCCCAGGGCCAGTCTTCGTCATCCACCCTGCAACGTGCTGTGGTTTATTTTCCAATTGAAATTCCATTTCTAATTACTGTCTTTACACACACACACAGGCTCAGCGGCAAGAAGAGAAGCATGCAGTGCCACGGATCACTGCACAGGGCCCTGCGGGGAGGGTGGCGGCCCGGAGCAGCGGGGGCCAGCAGCTCACATCAGGCTCCATTTCTGTGGTAGGGTGTGCCGGCGGGTGCCCAAGGGTGCCAGGTCTCCCTGTGCCCACTGCAAGGAAGGACTTGGGCACCATGGAGCCACAGGGCATCCCAGGGAAGGCCCAGGTATGCCGGGAGCGTGCTGGTCCTCAGGGAGCAGACTGACACATTAACACGTCCCCAGGAGCTCGAGAGCCAGCCAGGAGAGTCAAAGGGAGCTCTGGGACCATCCTGCACCTGGCATCTGAGAGCAGACCCTGACCCAAGTCCCAGGTTGGCCAGGATGAGAGCGGCCTTCTGCCTGAGGCACTGGTGGGTGGGGAGGGGGTAGGTATACCCGGGAAGCTCAGTGTCCTCGCCCTCCCCCGCCCACACCTCCTCCCATCTCCACCATGCACACCAGTGCCACGGCCTGGAGGGCCACCTTGGGCCCCATTGGGTGTCTGCTGCCCACCCTCGCCCAGAAGTGGGGTGAGATCCAGCAGAAAGGATGGGGACAGCACATCTACCCCAAGGCCAGTGGAGAGGATGCAGACGGGAAAGGAGCACAAGAGCGGCCGCGTGGGGGACGGGCTGCTGTCCTTGGTGCTGAACGTGTCCCCTGCAGGTGATGAGCCTGCCTCCAGCAGCCCCTGGGCCCAGGCAGCAGGAAGGAAATGCCCCGGGGGGTGGGGTCACTGCACGGGCCTGCCCTGCTCCCACCCCACGAAAGAGGCTTCCAGAGACCAGCACAGGCCACAACCTGCCCCATCATTGCCACCACCCCACGCTGAGGGGACCAAGTGGGCCTCATCCTGAGACAGGGCCCCACGCGGCCCAGCTCCTCAGACAGCCACAGCCAGCGGCGACCCATCTCCCGGACTGCCGAATCCCCATGGCAGGGCCGCAGCTCAGGGGAG